TAACGCCGCCTGCAGCTCCTCCCTACCACTCCCACTCATCCCAGCCTCACAGTTCCTGCTGCAGGCTCACGCCCAATCAGTCCTGATTGGGAGAGGCTCGCGCTGTGGCAGCAGCACCCGCCAACCATGACCCCTGCATCTGGGGCCCTCCCAAGGTGACTAACCTGCGGGATCAGGCTGAAACTGGCTCTCTAACATTCTGCGAGGGGTCCCAGATTGCAAGAGGGTGCAGGCCAGGCTGGGGAGGGACCACCGGAGGCCTCCAGGGCATGTCCGGCCCATCTCGCTCAGTCCTGATTAGCTGGACCCCAGCAGCAAGCTAACCTACCAGTCGTAGCATCTGCCCCCAGTGGTCAGTGCATGTCATAGCAACTGGTCAACCAGTTGACTGCCCCCTGGTGGTCAGTGCATGTCATAGTGAGCAGTTGAGCAGCCTTAGTATATCATTAACATATTACGCTTTGATTGGTTGTTTGGTTGTTCTGCCATTTGGTCTATTTGCATATTTTCCTTTTATTATATAGGATTTTCCATACAAACAACTGTAAACCTACTTTTGCTATACTCTGTATATCGGCACTGGTGGGGTCCCTCGGCCTGGCCGGCGCCCTCAATCTGGGACCCTCAGGGGATGTCGGAGACCTGGTTTTGGCCCAATCCCATAGGGCAGGCCAAGGGACCCCACTGGTGCACAAATTCGTGCACTAATTAAATTAAATAGATCCCTGATATCTTTCACCCTGAAAATATTAGAGGGGCCCTTATGAGAAGCAACTTGATTGCAAATCATTATCTGCCCTTATGACTTTCTCTTCATAGCTGGTATTTGAAACTTGTTTTTTCTTGCATTCTATTTTACAACCTAAGTCGAATGTCTCTTCTTATTGGGACTTATATGGGCCTTTTAATACACCTCAGATTCATCTGCTTTGAAAAATAACCTCCTAGGACTTTCCAAAGTGAATATTGTGTCTGTTGTATATTCTTTTTTTTTTAAATATATATTTTTTTAAGATATTACATATGTGTCCCTGTCCCCACATCACCCTCCACCACCACCCCCACCCCCCCGTTGTCCGTGTCCATTGGTTAGGCCTCTATGCCTGCATGTAAGTCCTTTGGTTGCTCTTTCCCCTTTACCCTCCCCTCCCCCACCCTCCCTCCAAAGCCCGACAATCCAATCAATGCCTCTCCGTCTCTGGATCAGTCCTTGTTCATCAGATTATGTTGTTCCTTATATTCCACAAATGAGTGAAATCGTGTGGTATTTATCTGCTCTCCAGTTCCATCCATGTTG